GAAGAGCATAAAACCAAATGAGACAAAACAAAATAGAATCAATCAAAACAAAAGGATCAATATGGTACATGACTTAAAAACAAAATACAAGGAGATCAATAGTGACTACCATAATACCTTTTTGTTATCCTCAAAAGAATTGCCCATATCATCAGGCATAATAAAATTGAATAAAACAGTACAGAAAAAACCAATAAAAAAATTGGAGACATTATAGGACTTCAAAGGAAGATAGTAGTCAAACCAGAATGGGTATCGTAGTATGTCTTATTGTCTTCAAAGAAGTTGCTTATACCATCAAGCTTGATACTATCACACAAAACAGAATAGAATAAAATAAGTCAAAACAAAACAGTAAAAGCAATACAGGGTTTCAAATCAAGGTTATAGGAAATAAAAAATGGTTACCATAATATATCCTGCTGTCTTTGGAATAGCTGTCCATATCATCAAATCTAATTCAAGTAGACAAACTGAAATAAGAAAAACCAAACTAAACAGAACAATGAAAACAATGTGGGTTTCAGATCTTAATAATAGATTAAGATTAACAATGGCTACTGCCTTCCCTTTTTAGACAATTCCTCCCCTTTCACTTTTACAGGATGTATTGTACATTTTGGATTCCACTAACTCCTTTAGTTTTTTAAATTAGGGAGGCAAACCACTATTCATCTAAGTGATTCTGAACCTTTTTACCCCTGAGCATAATCTCAAGTTGTATCCATTTGTCAAAAGAGCCTCAAGGTTTTCTCTCTTTGTAGCTGAGTAGTTTTCCATTGAATAAAATTGTCATGGCTTTCTAACCAATCTGCAGCTGATGGGCAAGCTACCCCTACTTTTTTCTGGTTCCCTTTCACATAGAGCATTGTTTTCTCATCATTGAATTTCAGTCTATAAACCTCCTTTTGGGTTAAATGTATTTCTTATATAAAGCATATTGATGGCCCCTATCTCCTGACCCACTCTGCCTGTGTTTCTTTTCATTGGTGAATTGAGGGCATCTATATTAGTGATTATGGCTAACCTCCTCTGCCTCATCTCTGCAGTGCTGTTTTTCTGCTGTTTGTTGTCTACTTTTCCCCTTCATTCCACCGTCTGCCCCATTCAGGGTGAGCCCCCTCTGTCACTGTTCCTGAAACCATGGTCTTTTTTTTTCTCTCTCTCTAGAATGTCTTTCAGTATGTTTTGTATGGTTGGTTTGGTGGTCATGAACTCCCCTAGTTCCTCTTTGTCATGGAAGCATCTTGTTTCTCTATTAATTTTGAAAGTTAGTTTTACAGAGTGCATCAGTCTGGGTTGCAGGTTATTTTCTTTTAGGACTTGGAATGCTCCAAGCTCTTCTTGATTTGATGGTTTGTGTTGAGAAGTCTGTTGTGATTCTGATGGGTTTCCCTTTATAGGTAATCTATTTCTTTTTTCTGACAGCTTTTAATATTCTGTTCTTGGGCTGGGGATTTAGCTCAGTGACATAAGCACCTGCCTGGCAAGTGCAAGGTTGTGAGTTTGATCCCTAGTACCACACACACACAAAATTCTGTTCTTGTGTTAAATTTCTGGGATCTTGATTATTATATGTCTGGGTATAGATCTATTTTGGTTATAGCTGACTGGAGTTCTGTATACCTCACTTATCCAAATATTTCCTTTTCCTATGCTTGGGAAGTTTTCTTTAATTATTTCTGTAAATAGCCTTTGTAGTTCATTTGTGTTTACTCTTGCTTCTTCACTCACATTTTTATTCTTAAGTTACAGTTCCTCTTATCATCTTCTAGCCTTTGTATTGTTACTTCCTGGTCCCTTGTTACTTTTAAGAGATCTTTCCTTTTGTGATCCCAAGCTGCAAACCTGTCTTCAAGTTTTGATAGTCCATCTTTAGTTTCTTCCAAGCAGTTTTGCAGCTTTCAATGGAGTTTTAAATTTGCTGGTAATCTCTTTCAATCAGTTTCATGTATTCTAAATCTCTTTTATATTCTTCCTTGAAGATTTCCCTCATTTCTCTATGCTCCTGTATTCTTCCATCTGTGTCTTCTTTAGAGGTGCTTAGCAATTCTTTTACTGTGTTTCTCATTTTTTCCTTTACCTGAGGTAGTATTTCTGTTCTAAGTTCTTTTATAGCCTCTTGAAGTTGTTTCTTTATTTCAGTTGCTGTTGCTTTAGAAACTTCAGGTGTGTAACTCCTGGTCTCTTCTATGTTTACATCTCCTAGATCAGTACTGCTTGGGTTGGAGTCCAGAGACTGTCTTTTGCTTCTTCCTCTTGTCATGTTCCTGGTTTCTTCGGAACAAGTGGGTAGTGGGGTCCCTGGCACTTCCTGTGTTGGTTATAATTTCTCTGAAGCATGCTGGCTAGGGATATCTGATGGTGACCATTGGGTGCGCTGGTGAAAGGTTATCCATGGCTGGTGAAGTACAAGCAGGGGTGGGCAGACTAGCGGGACCATGTTAGTATGTGCAGGGCGGGTGGGGCTGGTTGGGGATAGCTTTAGGGAAACCTCAGTGGTGGCTGTTGGATTACATGGGGTGGGATTTAGTCCAAGCAATTTCCACCAGTCTGCTCCAAGCTAGGAGGGGTTGAATGAAGCTGGCTGCAGTTCTGGTTCCAGGCTTATCTTGCCTGACTCCAAAATGGTACCCAGCCAATTGCCCACTCCCCTGGGAGGACTGAGTCCCCCACACTCATTGCCAGCCAGTGCAGTTCTCTGGTCTGCTGCTCCCCTCTGCCACAGTGTCTCCCAGGAGAGGCCTTCAGGCTTGCCAGCCACCAACTTCACTGATGACCATGCACCCCAGGTTCTAACAGTGCTTCTTATACAGTGGTTCTGATCCAGATGAAATCGCTGCCAGCTACTGCCTTCTTCTGTTTAAGGTGGTTTTTTAAAAAATTCTCTCTGTGGGCTTCATTTCTCTTTGTGTGTGTGTGTGTGTGTGTGTGTGTGTGTGTGTGTGTGTGTGTGTGTGTTTTTGAGACAGGGTCTTGCTATGCAGTTCAGGCTGGCCTTGAGCTCACTTTGTAGCCTAGGCTGGTCTCAAGCTCACAACGATCCTCCCACCTCAGCCTCCAGAGTGCTGGGATTACAGGCATGAGCCACCACGCCCAGCTAGGGCTTCATTTCGCACTCTACGTTCTTCCTGGGTTGAGGGGACCCACTTCCTTCCTTCTTGTCTTCTCCAGAATGCTATATTCCAGCATCTGGACTGTTTCTCCCACAGAGGCTGTCACTCTGCTGCTTACTAGTCTGCCATCTTCCCAGGATCCTGGATCTTGCTTCTTGATCCATTTTGCCAGTCTGTTTCTTTTGGTGGCTTGAGACCAATAATATTGATGGTTGTAACTGATACATGTATTGATTTATCCTTTGTCATGTTAGTTTCCTGATGTTGGTTCCCTTTTTTTCTCTCTCTGTTTAATTACTTGTCCTGCCTGGTAGACTCATTCTGATGGGGTTCATGGAGTTATAGTGCTTGTTATCTGTTTCTAGAGTGTCCTTCAGAACATTTTGGAGTGCTGGTTTTGTGTTCATGAATTTTCTCAGTTGTTTTTGTCTTGGAAGTATCTTCTTTCTTTCTTTCTTTTTTTTTTTTTTTTTTTTTTTGTCTTTTTCCTTTTTATCAGCACCAGGGATCGAACTCACAACTGCCTGCTTACAAGGCAGGTGCTTATGCCGCTGAGCTAAATCCCCAGCCCCTGGAAGTATCTGATTTCTATATCAATTTTGAAAGATAGTTTTGTGAGGTACATCAGTCTAGGTTGGAGGTTATTTTCTTATAGGGCTTGAAATATTTCACTTCAAGCTCTCCTTGACTTGATGGTTTGTATTGAGAAGTATGCTGTGATTCTGATGGGATTTCCTTTATAGGTGACTTTATTTCCTTTCTCTAAACAGCTTTTAATATTCTGTTCTTCTGTTGAATTTTTGGAATCTATCTTGACTGTTATATCCCTCAGCATATTTATTTATTTATTTACTTTTAAAATCATGACTAATTAGAGTTCTATAAACCTCTCTTGTCTGTATGTCAGATTCTTTTTTTTTGCTTGAGAAGTTTTCTGCCATTACTTTGGTGAACAAGTTTTTTATGTTGTTTCTGGTGTCTCCTGCTTTTTCATTGATTCTGGTTAATCATTTTTTAATTTAATTTTTTATTTTTTTATTTTAAAGAGAAAAACAATAAAATAAAACAAAACAAAACAATGGGAATGATATTGGATTTCAAAAACAAGACAGTAGGAAATCAACGGTGGTTACCATAATGCACATTGTTATCCTCTAAATAGATGTTTATACTACCAGACATAGGTGTGCAAAGTAAATCAAACAGCACAATTACTAAGTTGTTTCTTTACTTCAGGTGCCATCATCTCACAAGTTTCAGGAATGTGGCTTCTAATTTCCTGTATGTCTTTGTCTCCTGGATTTGTTCTGGGTAAGATACAGGCATACAAAATTAATCAAACAGTATAAGCACTAAGTTGTCTCTTTACTTGAGTTGCTATCCTTTCAGAAACTTCAGGTGTGTGACTTCTAATTCCTTTTGTGTCTGTGTCTTCTGAACTTGTTGTGGGTGGGCTGGAGTCTGAATTAGCACCCTGCTTCTCCTTCTTGACATTTTCCTGTATTTCTCCAAATTAGCCCGGGTTGCTGAGTCCTGGGTATTTCTTTCATTGGCCGTCCATCTCACAGTGCAGGGCATTGGGCTAGGCCCCTGGGTTCCTCTGATCCAAGGTTCAGGTGGTGGAGAGGTGGGTGGCAGCTGCTCATCAGTGTTCCCTTGATGGCTGTGGAACTCCGGAGGTGTGCCTTTCTCTCTGGGCTCATGGCATGGTTGTGGGCTTACTGGGGAACAGGGGCAGCCTCTTTTCCTCTGCTCACCCAGAGGGTGTGGCTTTGTCCCCTCTTGGCCTGCTACAAATAGGTCACTGGGGGCATGGCCTCTTTTCCTGTCTTTGTCAGTGGACTCACCAGCGAAGTGACTTCTTCCTCTCCAGGTCTCTGATTGAATTGTTTTTTTCTAATGAATTGACCATTACATTTCTGAAGTTCTCAAATGGCCAACAGGCCATAGGAAGATAACACTTAGGGCTCCTTCTTGAAATCAGTAGCTTCAGAAAATGGCCAGCCTTGATACAGGGCCATTCCAACCAATCATTTGTTACTCTTCTTTGCATCATCTAGCATGGATAGATTTTCCCATCATCTCCTGCTATTTTTAAGAAATCTTTCTTTTCATGATCACTAACCACAGTCCTGTATTTTGGATCTGAGATTTTGTCCTTACATTGGCTCTTCTGCTTTGTGTACTTTTAATAACTCCCAGATATCTGTTTGAATGTGTTTTATAGATTCCATTTCTTTCCTATGTTGGGCATTCATAGTATCTCTCTCTGCTTTAGAGTCACTAACAACATGTGGTAGATTACCTAATGGTCAGCTTGTAATACTCAGCTGAACTGAATCAGCATGGTTCTGGGTATGGAAAGGCCACCTGAGAATTGTTGCATGAAATGAGAACTGGAGAGAAAGATGGTGTGCTTTTGATTGCCCTTTACTCTGATTTTCCTGATATGAATGCAGCTGCTCTCAATGTTGGAGGCGCTGGAGTCCCTGCTGTGACTGAGAATGGCTCCAGTTCTTTTTAGGGAAGCTCTGATCCTTCTTTTGAGCATTGCGTCCTGGCTTCAGTGTAGAGCTCTCAGCCTGCTGGCATAGATCCTTCACCCCGCTGTGGCAGTTTCTAGCTTCCACCACTGACCTTTGGGCTTTCCCAGTACAGATCCTTGATAAAGATTTGCGTGAGACATTGTCGTGGGCTCTGAGCCCCTGGTTAGGCTCACGGAGGACACTGCCATGGGCTCTAGGTCTTCAGCTGGACTCGTGCAGGACATTGTGGTGGGATCCAGGCCCTCAGCTAGATTCTTTGGGTCTCTAGTGTGTGGATAGATCTCCCACACTCTTCAGCACTTGACTCTTTGGGTGAATATTATAAAGTAGTCATGTAGATTATGTGCCTTGTACTAAATCTATTTCCTTGCAAACTCTTGACTGCTACACCATATCTTTTATTATGGTCAGCATCTGTAGTTATCTGAGAAATTATTTCTGATTTGATTTTTTTCTAGCGAATCATTCATTTGCCTTAATATTTTTGCTGTTGTCTCTGTTGAGCATCCAGGTAAGTGGCTTTAGAATTGTCCCACCTCATTGTACCTTGGATTTGCCTTTGGTTATCTGAAAGTCTGGGATTATATCTTGCTTAAGTGTATTCTCATTTTCTTTTTTAAAAATTCCTGGTTTGATGCTTATATATTGCTTATTGCAGGTAGCTTTATTGGTAGTAGTATTGTAATCTGGTAGGAACAACTGCTTCTCAAAGATGTCTTCTACGTGTAGCTGGCTTTTGGATTTTGAGTCTCTTGCAAAATCTGTTTCTTCAGATTATTGGAGATGAGAAGCTACTGCTTATTTGGCCTAGCCCCTGGTCTTGGCACTGGCCTTTTAGTATTGTTTATGACTCTTAGGCAATCTCAGTCTTAGCATACCAAGAACAACTGATTAGAACAGTTAGGTCCTCTTGGTTAAAGTAGTACAATCAGCAATAATGGGATCAAACACAACTTAGAAAATGACGACAGACTTTGGTAGCATTAATTTGCCACCTTCAGTTGTGTGAACTAGATTTGCGGTTATATAATGAAATGTAAAACAAACCAGAAAATTGCATACAGTAAATACGCCCTGAGTATGGCAGTTTTACTTTCAGAGAAAAAACTTAAAAGGGGTTATGGGGCAAAAATAGAGAAATAGAAGAGGATGAGATTAGATTCAAGGCTGGAGAGCAAAGAAAAATTATGCAGTTTGAGAAACTGGTGAAGAAAACAGAAGCAAAAGAGAGAAGGAAGAAATAAAAACCAGAATAGAACAACACAAAGAAACTAGAAATAGTATTCATAGCCATGTAAAAACAAGAACAATCAAGAAAAAAGAAAACAAAACAAAAAAAAGAGAAAAAATCCCTTCAAGGTGTGTCTGTGCTATCAGTGGTAGATAACATTGGCAGACCGAGCCCAGATCTGTGTTGATTAATCCCAGCAAGTGAGCCATAGATCTATGGGGGAATAATGGATATTTCCTGTGTCCTTTAGTGCAAGCCTGCACCTTAGTTCCAGTGAAGTTCAGGCTGCTTTCTGGCTGTGAGGCTGGCACCAGTTTGGTCAGCCTGCACCAATCTGACTGTTTCCTGTCAGTTTGAACGTGGTGGCTGTCTGCCACCTTGAACTTGGCTCCTTGATTTCCTGCTGATTTGAATTGAGTTCTGCCTCACTCAGACACTAGGAGCTGCTAGATGGAGCCAGCCCACCTCTCATCTCTCCAAGATGGCCCTCTCTTGGGGGATGTCTGAACTGGAATAACTCACCAGTCACTGCAGTCTGCTGCATCTACTGCCCGGTTCCACTAGTTAATTTCTATGTGGAGGCTTCTAGGGTCTCCAGAAGTTAGTCACCATATGTCTGCTGGTTCAAGCAGCTCTTCCTATGCACTGAGCGTGGCTTAGGGAAAAGATGTTGCTTACCATCTCCTTCTTTATTGACTTGGTTTCTGTCTTCAGTCTCCCAGTGGGCTTCTTTTGTTTCAGATCCTTAACTGGGTCCCAGGGACCCATTTCCCTCCTTCTCTTCCTCTTGTTGCTATATTCTGGTGTCTGGACACCAAATCTCAGAGAGGCTGTTTCTTTGCTTACCACTCGGCTATCTTTCTGGAAATCTCATGGATTCTTCACTTAGTGAGCAGCAAATAGTTTGGTATGATTTATTTTAATGTTAACATTTTCTGTGAATTGGCCGATGGACCTTTTTCATGCTGGCTCCTGTGTCCTTACATGTTCCTGTTATTCTTGGAGCAGTCTTCAGTTCTCACCACAGTAACCTAAGGGTAGTACTCACCCTTAGGCTTAAAATCAACTGTTTTTGCAAAGAGGCCTTACTCCTTATAGTGGAGGGTAAAACTTAAAAACCAAAGTCTGTAAGTTACATGTGCTTGTTGATTTTACACACACACACACACACACACACCTCTGTAAAGCAGTTTTTACAGTAGACCCTTAAGTTACAATCAAACTCACATACAGACAACTTGGGTTATAACCAGAGTCTTGAGTTATGACCCAAATGTTGGCCCTTTGACCAGTTTTTAGTTCTGAAAAGGCTGAGACCTGGTGAGCCAGAAGTGGGTCCTAGTGCGCTCCAGACTCTCTTAAGAGAAAGGACACTAGATTCGGATTCCTGATGTTCTTATGGAAGAGAACGCTCGGTGCAAACAATAACCACCTTCCATTTCATCCTCCCTTTAAACCGAAGATGTCAACTTGAGTGTTGAGTACAGTATGAAATTGTTTCTGGTAAACTAGACACATTTTGTAACTTTTTGGTGAATATGCTAGGAAAATTATTGGTGTTTCTTAGAAATTACACACACTATAGAACCCTTTTTTATTATGAAAAGTTTAGTTAAAGGGTAGTTTGGAATGCATTATGGATATTTCTATTATTTCTTCTGGGAAGAATAGTCTTTTTTATTTATTTATTTTTATTTAAGGAGAAAAGAAAAAAAACAGTGAAGGGGTACAAGTTATACAGATTTACAGAAGAAAAAAATGCGCAGTAGGAAATCACTAGTTAATGGATTACATATTGCCATCTTAGAAATAATTGTTCAAGTCACAAAATTAAAGCTTGTAGAGTGGACATTCCAACAATGAAACTGCAAACAGTTCTGTTCAATGATCCAATAAAACTCTGTGATATCATTTTCTATCTTATACACTTAAATATACATGCAGTTATATAGTTTAGAGCACTTTCTTTTCCTCTCTTTTGTACAATGACTATTACACATTTTGGGTTTCATTGCTCCCACGGTTCTTATTGCTTTTTTGGAAGAGAGTAAAACCAAATGTGACATAACAGAACAGAATCGGTCAAGTCAAAAGGGTGGACATAATAGATAATATAAAAACATAATACAAGGTGATCAACAATGGTTACCATAATGCCTCCCGCTATCTCTAATAGAATTGCCTATATCATTAGTTGTAATACAATTGAACAAAACAGTAAAGAACAAAACCGACAAAACCAAAACATTGGAGACATTGTAGGTCTTCAAAAGTAGATAAAAGTCAACGAGAATGGGCGTTATAATGAATCTCATTATCTTCTCAGCTGATGCCTAAACTTTCGAACCTGATACTATCCAGCAAAACAGAATAGAGGAACCTCAGTCAAAAACAAGATGGTGAGAGTAATACAGGGCTTCAAAACGAGATAATAGAAAGTCTAAGTGGGTTACTATCTTATATCCTGCTATTTTTTCCCTTTAATTAAACGGATAAAAATAAAAAAGTAAATAATGGAGTGGAGATTGAGAAAAAAGAGGGCATAACAGCGAAACAGGGCAGATCAAAACATAACCATTTAAGCAGAATAGTGTTTCACCACCAGATAATTCCGACCCAAAAGTAGTTACCATATTGACTCTTTCCTTGAAGTCCTTGAGTACAACTTCGTATACTGTAGCATTAAGTATATCAAAACAATGTAAAATCATTTAAGAGAATGACAGCATTATAGAGTATTTAGAATCGACTAACAGAAAATGAACAATGGTTTCTGTATATTCTCCTTGTCTTTAAAAGGTTTTTGCTTATACTATCATATATAATAAAATCCAGTAAGATACAACCTGTTTAGACCATTGGAGACAGAAGAACAAAAGCTAGATGAGACTTCAAAACAAGATGGTACTAATTCAGTATTACCTATTAAGATGTCATTTTCTCCAAAATAGCTGTTCCTATCATCCAATCTTCTCTGTCTCATTTCTGTTGAGCTCTTTTTCTGTCAGTAGCTGTCAGTTTGTCTTCTTCATTTTGTTCTCTGCTCCATTCGTTGTGGCTTCCCCGCCACTATTTCTGGGTTCTTTGTATTTTTCTTTTTTTAGAATATCCTGCAATACTTTCTGTAGGGTTGAATTGGTGGTTGCAAATTCCCCCAGTTCCTCTTTATCCTGGAAGCACCTCGTTTTTCCATCAATTTCCAGGGACAGTTGTGCAGGATATCTCAATCTTGGCTGGAGATTAT